CAAGTTACACAACCACAAACAGAACACCTTTATATAGAAACAGGGCTTTTCCAGGCTTAGTTTGGGCCTAAGGGGGGACGACAACGCACAACATGAAGATAAGTTTGTGCACAGCAGAACCAATGAGCCTGTGTTTGACAGAAATCGTGCATTTTCTTCTGATTTCTGACAATTTGAGAAACAAAAATGTCTGATTTTCTTCCGTAAATGTGACCCTGTCCCCACAAAATTGCATTCCTATACAATTTAAGAAAAAAACCCCATAAAATCTAAGCTTGGGAGGCATAAACCAGAGGTTGAAGATGAGGGATCATCAGTATTAGATGTATTAGACTTTAGATTTTTACACTCTTTCTGGTTCGATTCAGACACCAATGCTACATGGTTAGCTTTAGGAAAACATCACGCCTTATTGTACAATTTTGCATGTTCCTGTTCATTATTCCTCGGTTAGGTGTAGGAATAATATCATGGCTGGAGTTAAAATGCGACCCTTTTACTACATGTTTAAAGCTTCTTCTCCATTTTCTGGCTGACGAGGCCCAACTCATCCAATATGTGATTGGTTGGCTGACGAAGAGGGACAGTAAAGCTCTAAAATTAATCTACTTTCCCTCAAAATGTAACTGAGAATGCGGTTTAGTTGTTGAGGATTATAATTTTGTGGAAACCAGGTTGGTAAATAGAACCCCACTTAACAGCTCAGGTGTAAAATATATATAATTCTCTACATTTGTGTGATTGTCCTTCGGCGCTGGCTGAAACCTCGAAGTGCCAAATGTTCCTCTGTGCAGCAGAAACCCTGAAAAATGGACAACAAATCCGATACCAAGTGTGGGAATTATAATTAAGAATTTATGAGCTTTGAAAATCTGCAACCCAAAATAATCAATTAGAAGTGTATAATCTTTAATCAAAATTATACTCCGTCACAGCCCAGATCCCCGTGCTGCTCAGTGCCATGCAGGCTGGCCTTAAATACTCTGCTTAATGTAATGCAGGGTAAGGCAATTAAAACCGTACAGTACAATCAAATTCCCACCTCGACCCCCTCCGCTCACCTCTGAAAGAACACTTGTGGTGCGACTTTTGGCGTTGTGTAATGCTTTCTCGTACGCCGAGCGCTTCGGTCCTCTGTTGTCTAACTATCTTGTAATGTGTGGGCGCCAATTAGCGGGGTCAGATTTGTTGTGAAGCTGCCGTGCAGGTAATTGCTTGTAGGATGTCGAGATGTTGGTCAGAGCCTTGCAGTTGAGGATTGTTAGAGTGAATCTTATGTATTTTTCCATTTGCGGTTGGAATAATTGCTCGGGCTGTGCTAGGAAAAAAAATATTACATCCCCAGCTGTGCTTCTGCTGCGGACCACACGAGGAACGAGAGCAGAGATAAAGCGAGGCGAGGAGGCTTGTTGAGCTGTGTGTGGATTCCCGCAAATTGTCTGGATGAAGAGACACTCATGTCTCACATGTCTCATTATCTCTTCTCATTTGTCTATCTCTTCCCCTTTCCTCTATTCTTGATCAGTCGTCGCACTCTCTCTGTTTTTATGTTTTCCTCTCTTTATACCTCTCTGTTGGACTCTTATCTTCTCTCTTTTACTCCCTCATCACTCTGTTCTCTTTCTGTCTCCTTCCCTTCACCCCCGTCTTCCTTTTTTCCCTGCCATATGTTTGTCTCAATTGCCTCGCCTTCCTTTTTCTCTCCCTGGTCTGGGATCAGTGGCATCTAATGCTTTCCACTCTGCCTGATTAAGTCAGCACATGTACCCTCTTTACATTATCACTTCCACACACACACACACACACACACTCATGCACGAGCGTCCCCACAGACCTAATCAGTCCTTCTCTTAGTTCTCTCTCTCACACCACTCCAGACCTAATGAAAAAACATGAGATCTGCTAAAAAAGAAAGGCGAGATGGACAGATGGAACAGACAGAGAGAGAAAAGGTGGCAACAAAAAACAAAATGGAGTGCAGGGAAAGAAAACAGAAGAGCAGCGAGGCAATTAATTCATTAACAAAGCCACCAGTCGCTCCTAATACCTGTTTCCACTTCACAGATATTAATTGTTTCCAATCAGCATTCATAATATCATGCAGCGATGCAGTAGGAGGGAAAACGGGTTGCACAGAGACAGAAAGGCAAGGTGAGGCTTTTGAAAAGACTCATTCAACATGCTGATGCATTCGTATGGCCGGGACCATTTGAAATTCAGATACACTCAGTTAGCCGCTAAACGTCGTTCTGGTTGGCTGTCACTCGCGCCGCTAAATGCAGCTAAATGGATGTATTGTGCTGTAATGCACCTTTGTATTACATTACTCTAACACTCATTTGTATCGACTAAATAGTCCAGTGCCCGCTGTGTGGTGGGGGAGAAGTGGGAGAGGTGCCATGTTGAGGGAATGATTGAGAATCGTCCTGGAAGTCTGCTGTGTTTTCTTACTGTATATATATTTATATGTGTGTGTGTGTGTGTGTGTGGGCAAGTGCTTGAGGGAGATAATGCGTTAAGTGAGTGAAGGAAAGAGCGAAGATGGCCTTCATTGAATGAGTGTGTGCACCTGCGCGTGCTCGGACGTGCGTGGACACCTGATTATGATGATGAAGTCTCCCGACGGGACTCTTTCTGCTACAGTCCTCCAGTAGTCTAATGAGAAGCTGTTTCCGTAGTTACCAGGTGTGAGAGCCGGCAGCTCATAATGTCCTGTGGTGAAGAACAAAGGATGAGGAGAAGAGGTGGCTGGAGAGAGAGACAGAGCGGAAGTAAAGGCGAAGGAATGAAAGGGGCGGAGGACGGCAGAGAAACGAGACTAGAGGGAAAAAAAAACAAAAAACCTGATATTGGGTGTGAATGATCAATTTAGCTGTGTGTGTCTGTATTGATGTTTTTACTTGAGTGGCTCGCTGTGGGTGTTGCATGTGGTGAGTGAAGACACTGAATCTTTATAATAAGCCAGGGGACCTGAACACGCATCAGTTCAAATTGATCTCCATTAAAGTGGTGAGAACAGCGAGGCGGGGCCAGCTGTTCGGCTCTGGTCAGATCGCATTAGGCACCTTCCAGCTGAAGTAAAAATGTAAGAGGGTTTTATGCATTGCTCCAACTTTAATTGAACTGCTTAATAAGCACTTGGGCCTTTTCTCTTTGAAAAAAAAAAAATAGGCCATCTGTCTTCTCCCTGTCTTCTCTAAAATGGAAATTTTGAAATGCGTGCATATTTGGGGGTTCAAAGACGAGCTGGTAAACAAAATTAGCACAGGGAAATGCTTAGTTTCAGGCATATTGGTGTATTCTTTTGAAAATAACCACTTAAACCTTTTCATCAAGGTGTAACATGAACCGTCCGATGCAACAGCTCAACCTTTAGGAAGGTTATTATCACGGTGTATGGAACAGCTGCAGAACAGCAGGAGCACCTCAATATTTAAGACATTTAATTTTGACTGATCTGACAAAAAAAGCTCCAAACATTACACCACAGTATTATGCAGATGCTACAGCAGGGTGATTGAATTAAATGCTCTCAGATTGTACAAGTCCAGTAGAGTTGGGTCTGTTTTGCTCCAGTCAGTGTTGCATTAGAAAGCTGCAGCACCCAGTCATCCTTCAGTCACGTGCTGCTGCTTTGCTTTTCCATATTTTACAGTCATTTAAATCGAAGCTGCATGTAACACGATGAGCAGCGATGAAAAGCTTTTTAATTTGGTGAGAAAAACATGATCTTACTTTAGTGTTTCAGTGAAAATGTCAGTGTTTTATGTTAGAATTTTGCAAATTTTGCACCACAAAGATGTATTTATGTGAAATGGATGTGTCTGGTAGCATTTAGAGACGGGACTTTGTTTATTTCTGTGTGAATATTTATACGTTGGCCTGCTTTATTCTACATCTGGCCATAGAATAGAAATTCATTCTGATTGTTTTCTTGTTTCTTTGGTCAACAAAATCTCACTAAACTGGAAAATGTCTGGTAAGTTCCCAGACTCCAGTGTTATGTCTCCAGATGTCTTTTCTGTTTAAACAGCAGTCCTACACCAAAGGATATTAATTTACTGAGAACCAAACGGGAGGCAGGAGCACAGTGCTTAATTCACAGCCTTTTGTTGTGCACACAGATGAACACTGCTGTGTCTTCATCAGAGCTGAGAAGCACCTGCTCCAGCTGCAGTCTGCTCCTGGATGTGAACTCAGATCATAGAAGACTGTGAAATGGAGAAAATATTCACATTTGAGAAGCTGTGAATTTTAGCCATTTTGAAAAATGACTTAATTGATTATCAAAATTGCTTCAAATGAGCTCTCTGTTGTTAAATGTTCAATGCTAAGTTTCTCGGCATCAATCAAACGGGGCAAAATGTTTAAAAGAAAATTAGATAGATGCTGAGAAGCACTACAAATGAGATATCGTCTCCTTCCGTGAATCCGATGGCAGGCTTTGTAAATAGTTCATAGTGAAACTAAGCAGTTTTTTAATTACGATCAATAAATCAGCGTGACTGGAAAGTGCCACTTGAGAACATGCAGCGCCTCCTGTTAGACTATATGCTGTCGAACACGCACACCTGTGTACTTGTCAGTGTCACAACATGATAGGATATTAGTGAGCACTCCCTATTTCTGGTCTCGGAGGCTGCCAGTTTTGCAACTTGACATTCTTGCGCCCGAAGGTTCAATTTTCCTCCAGGTTCGGTGAGTGAATGACACCTGAACTTCTGCTGGCACATCTCGAGAGAACGGAGGAGTGGGAGATGGTGCGGCTGAGTGAGGTTAGAGAAAGTTCTGCAGATGTCCTTCACACTTAGTTCGCTTAAGAATTCAGCCGAAATCCGTGCGCCGTCTGTCCTTGCCGTGTCCGCGTTTTGCTGCGTGTGAAAAGTAATTTGCTGTTGATTTCGATCAGGGTTAAAAGCTTTTCTCATCATCGCTCTGGTTTCTGCTGGTGTCTAACTCACTGTGTTGCTTTTTTTTTTTTTTTCTCCACCCTGGACCAGATTTGATCCACTGCACCAATGAGATGAACGTGAACATTCCCCAGCTGGCGGACACGCTGTTTGAGCGCACAGCCAACTCCAGCTGGGTGGTGGTCTTCAAAGCCCTTATCACCACCCACCACCTCATGATGTACGGCAACGAGGTAGGAGACGCACATTCACACGAACAAAAGCGCTGCAGGGCAGTCGGCGCAGGAAACATCAATAAGTGATATTATTACTCAACTCTGTCTCGCCCACATGCTCATAAATACAAACATACATATTTGGATCTTTTATTCATGTCCATATCGGCATTATGGTCCGCAGTGGGGGGAGTGGGAGGGCGACTGAATCATATGGGATGCAAACGGCATGTGGACGACTGAGGAAGTACATATTGAACACAAGGCGTGAATGATTGAAATAGCTGTGGAGTACAGAGAAATTAATTAGCTCGGTACGGGCTGCAGGCAGGATGGGGGACAAGGATGGAAGCAAATGAATAATCAAATAAATTAACATTATTATAAAAACATGGTTGGAAGCTGCAGGAATAACACAGTCCCTCCACAGATTTGCATTCAAACATTCAAAGACAATCATCTTAAATTAAAAGTCGAGTAACCCTGCTGTGTTCCGGAGAACTTTCCTATTAATTGTGATGAATTCTGATCAAGACCCATGTCAGCAGAATGTCTCGGTTTATATGCGACAGCGGGGCGTTTGAAAGGGAGAGCAGAGATTTGTAGATTCATTCTTTGTAGTTGCATTAATTTATTACCAGACAGAAGCAGACGATGCTTTGTCCTTCAAATACACTATTGTAGTTTATACTGATCCTCTAGTTCCCAGCCTGTTAATAATTCATCCTCTTTAATACAAAACTGATAGAACACAATACATTTTTTACATGAAAGTATACTTTGAAATTCAGATTTAGCCGTGCCCTTTGGTGCTCTCTATAGTGTTGTTGCGCAGAATGCATATTTTATGAAAACAGCAGTCCGGGCATATTGCTGTTTGTTGTGAGATACCATAACCATAAAACCTATGAGCACTGGACAAGTCTGACAAATGGTACACTTGCTCCTATTCTGTTTTATTTTACTTATAGAAGAAGGAGTTAAGCGTAGTTTTTGACATGTTACAGAACAAAAATAGGGGCATAAGTGTTTGTTTTTCGGCTCTCATCTTTCTGTTGTCGCCTGTGGCTTCATGTCATTTGAATAAAGCTGCATTTTCATGTGGCCTTTTATAACCACTGGACTAAAGGAGTGTCTGTACTTTTCATGCTATCTGATCAATATCTGACATGTGACGTGTGCAGCTGAGAGGTTGCGAAACAATAACACAACAGTTCAGTTTTGCTGTGCAGACATCAATCTGTTCAATTTCTTGCACACAAAAAAAAGCAAATGAGCAAATTTCCCAAAATCCTTAAAAAAAAAAAAAAAAAAGCCACTTGTTTCCATTCTGACAGACATCTTTGCGTAACCGAGCATCCCTGATCTCTCTAACTGCCGGGTGGTAGCTGTGAGACATGAAGTCGCGGCTGATTAAGCTCGTGTTCACATTTTACACATTATATACACATTGTGTGCTCTTGCATGAAGAAAACACCACCCTGTAATCTCTCGTACACAAACACACACACAACAGTCAAACACACCCAAAAAGCTGACACACCCTGCGTCACATTCCTCTTAATTTCCGTTAATTTGGGGAAGCATTGCTTCCTCGTTGAGCTGAGATCACTTGTGTCGACGTTATGTAATGCTTCCGCTCGCTGGTTCGTTGTTTGTTGCCTTAATCTAAACTTCCTCCGAAAAGAGGAAGCTACGGCTGTGAGATCATTGTGTTTTGGGCCCGTGATAGAAGCCTCTAAACGCACTGACACCCAAACAGCAGCTGCTTCTAACACTGTATTTTAGGTGCAGAGAATCAGCGCTCCAAAATTAGATGTTATGTTGGTGGTATAGGGGCAACGGAGACAAACTGACACCTTTAATAATAAGACACTTACATAAACCAAGACCTCACACTTAAGAGAGACATCACATCATTAGGCAACTCCTTCCTGAAGGAATGCTGAAGCTATGGAAATTCCTGCAACATTTTGATAAATCATGCTAAGTAGGTCACTGCAGAGCAGCGGGAGGCGGTTGAGAGGTATTCCCGAACTGTAGGCTGATTTATCTCTGAGTTGTCACTGTCACATTAAACCGTTTTGATGTTGATGTCTCACCTAGAGGGACTTAACAGTGATTGCAGCGCGATGCTAATTCCTCATTTCTGCTTTGACTAACAACAAACTCACAATCACTGTGTTTGTTTGTGTGGTGGCACATAATGGAAAATCTAATTCTAGTCAAGTTATTGTTGTTAATATGGCTTTATGTTGGTGTGTTCATCATTTTATTATCGCTAATCCGTTACAAAGTGGTGATATTAATTTAATGAACAGCATCTTTTTTGTTTTTTCAGATGCATTATTAAGACCTGATCTTAAATTATATATCTTCACGCAGCAGGCAGATGAGTAAAGCTGTGGGTATGAAATGTGTGTGTGGTGCAACATGGTAATCTTGTTTTACAAATTACAAACACAGAGCCATACAAAGCATTCAAGTGATAGTAATTCAAGTGCAACGGGCGTTTAAAAGACAGTGTTTTATTGGCAATACGGTGCTGTTCAGTGGTTATTAAATTTAGACACTAACTAAGTAGTGTGTGCGGTAATTGAAAGTCTGTATTACAAACACACGTAGAGCAGATTACAGTAGGTTTCTGTTTTAGCTGCACAGAGCGAGGCTTCGGGCTTGTGGCAGAGAGTGTGTACTCATCAGCCTGCATTCATCAGGCCTGTCAGGACAGTGGTGCTGACTGAGGCTCGGCGGCCAGGTGTCCCTGCTCCCTCATGGCCGTCTCATCCATTATAGTCAGAGCTGAGAGAAATCTGGCCGTAAAATTAGAAACCACAGACCCACAGAATTGGGGTCAATAGACTGTACATTCCCTTTCAGATCAACACCGCTGACCGGCTGCAGCTCGGCTTGGCACACTAAAGGCGGTCCTGTACGGCGTCTGGTGAACACCCTCATAGTAAAGATGATTTAGGCTGAATGGAATCTGCGTGCAGACCTCAGACAGCTCCTTCTGACAGGACTTGTGGTGACGGATGTGTGAGACTTTTGATGCAAATAGAAATTGCTGTATGTCACGGAATCTAATTTTAAGGCCTGCCGCGGAATTTTTGATAAACTTCTGATGGATGTAAGCATGAGAGAGCTGACGTGTGTCACTTTACATATTAGATACTGACGTGTCAGCGTCTCACACTCGTGATAAGATCGAGGCTCCTCCCTGAAATGTTATTTTCACAGGTCTCTAAGCAACTGCTCAGGCTAAAATTATTTGATTTGTCTGGGATTCGGTGACAGTGTTGCTGTTAATCCAGTGATTATTACAGGTATATATTGGTAGTGCTTATTGCGTCATGGTGTTTAAAAAAACATTACATCAACACAATATATTTGGCATGTGAGGGGAAAGAACAATACAGACGAAAGGAAGGAAGACGAGAATGAAAGGAGCAGGTATTCAAAAGAGGAAGGAGTAAAGGAAAGGGTTGGACATGGACAATATGAAACCCCTCAATGAGCAATTGTTGGATAATTGATGGCATTTTTGTGCCATTTTCGTCGTGCAGCAAAAGTAAAAATAGCAAAATATGTAGGATTATATGCTGCATGTAATCCAGGTTGAATTTAGCTGTAGACTAAAACAGATTGCCTTTCCGCGCCGCACACTTCCAACTCCGTGGTCAGCGACTGAATGTAAATCAGCAGACAGTAATATCTGAACATATTTAAATTTAGCCCGCTGTTGCATTCATTGTGGGCCGGTCTGGGTGTCAGCAAAATGCAGCCATTTTAAATGCAGCCCATTTTAGACTGCTGTCCCTGCTAATATATTCAGCCCATGCTTTCAAATCAGATGTGGGAATTTACCATTCAGAGCAAATAGCAGGTGAATTAAGTTTTAATATCTCTTCTTTGCCTCAGCTGCCATATTTGTTAAAGGGCTTGGGATCGTGATTAGAGTAATAGCGCGTTTTCATTGTGTGTGTGTGTGTGTGTGCGTGTGTGTGTGTGGCAGGTATTGATACTCATTCCATTCTTCACCTCCAGTTTTTTCCTCCCTGCCAAGAAGCAATCCTGGCTCACTCCCCAATGACACTGTGAATCTTGCGAGCGATCAAGACCCAGTCAATATCTTTGATCACAATTTCACTTTTGTGCTGCTACAAAGCCACTTCAAGAGCACGGCTCGCAGAAACACAGCTGCAGGATTTGGAGGTTTCACTCAGACTCTCTCCTTGTGGGTGTTTGTGACAGACGAGTGCCGTGCGGTGGTCTAAATTTTCCATATTGGTGAACATAAAGTTCAACTTTGACATTAACTACAGGCAGGGGTGCGATTAGTGCCTAGTCCTGGCTCCTTGTCTGGCCATTGTCTCAGTTGTTATCATTTGTCAGCGTGTGCCTCTGCTTCCAAGCCTTTGTATCGTGGGCCAATATGTACCAAAAACAATCCAGCAGGAAACCCCAAACAATGGCTGAGAGAACTATTTTCCATCCCTTCTCTCCCAGCCACAGCATTCCTCTGCCTTCCCTCTGGGGAGGCTGCTGGGTCTGTCTCCAGGGAGCGTTTGATGCTTTGACCACCCACGACCTGAACAAGGCTGCAGAGAGATAGAGAGCAAGCAAGGACATGGGAGAAAAAGAGGAGGGCAGCATTCGTTCATGGAATTCCAGGAGCAGGCAGAAGAAGTGACAGAGGATGCTACAAGAAATGAGTGTTTGAGAAACGGGGAAACATGGGGTCCTGTAGGAGTCAAACTTATTTAAAAATCGATTTTATTAAAAGGCAAAAAGCACTTCTTCTGCTTCTGGGTGTTTGACCCATAATCCACCTGAATTGCTTTTCTTTCCCAGCATTTCTTGCAACTGATTCTCGAAGAACAATATATCCCCACATTTACTCTGTGAAATGAGACATTTGGTCGTATTGCTTTGTTTAACTTTGTTTACTCTAAGCGCTCTTCACTGCTATAAAACTAAATCTTAAAATATAATGAGATGTTAAAATATATTATCCTAACCAGCGTGAAGGCACAGCTATTCTAGAGCTTGTGGAGCTTCTGCTCTCTGTAAAATCAGTAGAAACC